TTGTTGTTGCTGAAAAAATTCTTTCTGATTGTCAACAATTGCTTGATAATTACTTTCTTGTCTTCTTGATTGTTCAGCTATCTGCAGACCAAAAAAATCCTAGCAGAAAGCTTGACTATCCATATATGCAATTGCATACCAGATTGATAAGCAGAGTGCAGCTGTTGATATTGATGTTCATGCCATTTTTGCTGTTCTTCAAACATTCCCTTCCGATTTTCAAGATATTCATCTTGTTGTTTTCTTGATTCTTCCACCATGCGTGCCTTCAAGTCATCATACAAACCAAATACATACTGTCTACGTGTAGTGCACATTTTTTCCATCTGTTCTTTTGTGACACAATTATAGTCAACAACAGAAGTATAATTAGGCTCCACTCCAATTGAAGGGTGTGTTCTGGAAGTACCAGTATCATCAACATTAATTGTTTGCTTGCTATGTGGAATTTGTGGTACAATGTTGCCTAGCTCTCCACCGCAATGACATCCAATATAGTGTGTTTATTGTTCAACGGTAATGATAGAGTTGTGTAATACAATGTCTGCAATTTTTCTTCTGTTAGTTGTAATACCGCAAGGACTCGAATCTATAAACGTAATAAAATATTAGAATTCTATACTATAGTATAGTAGAATAATTAGATGTATAAATTTTCATATAATTACCATACCTCGTGTATAGACAAATATTGTTTTACAATTTTGTCTGTCAATATTTGCCTCGACTTCCATTTGTGCATTCTTGAAATTTGTAATGCCTTGTATCTCCTTCGTCCAAATTTCTTTCCAATCTTGGGAAATGCTTCGTATATCCAAACTGCAAAATGAAATTGAAAGTAAATATTAAATATATACAACATTAAACTAAACAAAACATAAAAATTTAGTAAAAAACAAATACTTGAAAAGCAAGAGGATATCCATGTAGCGAATATTTACACTCCCTTTGCTCAGCTTGTTGCATTCTTAGTATTCTTTCAAAGTGTGATTGTTGCAATGAAATCAACAAAACAAAATAT